TGGCTCCTTGCTCCTTCACAACAACGATGTTTCATGGCTCCTTGCTCTTTCAGGACAACGACGTTTCATGGCTCCTTGCTCCTTCACAACAACGACGTTTCATGGCTTCTTACTCCTTCACAACAACGACATTTCATGGCTTCTTACTCCTTCAGGACAACGACGTTTCATGGCTCCTTGCTCCTTCACAACAACGATGTTTCATGGCTCCCTGCTCCTTCACAACAACGACGTTTCATGGCTCCTTGTTCCTTCACAACAACGATGTTTCATGGCTTCTTACTCCTTCAGGACAACGACGTTTCATGGCTTCTTACTCCTTCACAACAACGACGTTTCATGGCTTCTTACTCCTTCAGGACAACGATGTTTCATGGCTTCTTACTCCTTCAGGACAACGACGTTTCATGGCTCCTTGCTCCTTCACAACAACGACGTTTCATGGCTCCTTACTTCTTCACAACAACGACGTTTCATGGCTCCTTGCTCCTTCAGGACAACGACGTTTAATGGCTCCTTGCTCCTTCAGGACAACGACGTTTCATGGCTCCCTGCTCCTTCACAACAACGACGTTTCATGGCTTCTTACTCCTTCACGACAACGATGTTTCATGGCTCCTTGCTCCTTCAGGACAACGACGTTTCATGGCTCCCTGTTCCTTCAGGACAACGACGTTTCATGGCTCCCTGCTCCTTCAGGACAACGACGTTTTCTGGCTCCTTGCTCCTTCAGGACAACTACGTTTCATGGCTCCCTGCTCCTTCACAACAACGACGTTTCATGGCTTCTTGCTCCTTCACAACAACGACGTTTCATGGCTCCTTGTTCCTTCACAACAACGACGTTTCATGGCTCCTTGCTCCTTCACGACAACGACGTTTCATGGCTTCTTGCTCCTTCAGGACAACGACGTTTCATGGCTCCTTGCTCCTTCAGGACAACGACATTTCATGGCTCCTTGCTCCTTCAGGACAACGACGTTTCATGGCTCCTTGCTCGTTCAGGACACAACGTTTCATGGCTCCTTGTTCCTTCACAACAACGACGTTTCATGGCTCCCTGCTCCTTCACAACAACGATGTTTCATGGCTCCTTACTCCTTCACAACAACGACGTTTCATGGCTTCTTGCTCCTTCAGGACAACGACGTTTCATGGCTTCTTGCTCCTTCAGGACAACGACGTTTCATGGCTCCTTGCTCCTTCAGGACAACGACGTTTCATGGCTCCTTGCTCCTTTACGACAACGACGTTTCATGGCTCCTTGCTCCTTTACGACAACGACGTTTCATGGCTTCTTACTCCTTCAGGACAACGACGTTTCATGGCTCCTTGCTCCTTCACGACAACGACGTTTCATGGCTCCTTGCTCCTTCAGGACAACGATGTTTCATGGCTTCTTGCTCCTTCACAACAACGACGTTTCATGGCTCCTTGCTCCTTCACAACAACGATGTTTCATGGCTCCTTGCTCCTTCACAACAACGATGTTTCATGGCTTCTTGCTCCTTCACAACAACGACGTTTCATGGCTCCTTGCTCCTTCACAACAACGACGTTTCATGGCTCCTTGCTCCTTCACAACAACGACGTTTCATGGCTTCTTACTCCTTCACAACAACGACGTTTCATGGCTTCTTACTCCTTCACAACAACGACGTTTCATGGCTCCTTGCTCCTTCACAACAACGATGTTTCATGGCTCCCTGCTCCTTCACAACAACGACGTTTCATGGCTCCTTGCTCCTTCAGGACAACGATGTTTCATGGCTTCTTGCTCCTTCACAACAACGACGTTTCATGGCTCCTTGCTCCTTCACAACAACGATGTTTCATGGCTCCTTGCTCCTTCACGACAACGACGTTTCATGGCTCCTTGCTCCTTCAGGACAACGATGTTTCATGGCTTCTTGCTCCTTCACAACAACGACGTTTCATGGCTCCTTGCTCCTTCACAACAACGATGTTTCATGGCTCCTTGCTCCTTCACAACAACGATGTTTCATGGCTTCTTGCTCCTTCACAACAACGACGTTTCATGGCTCCTTGCTCCTTCAGGACAACGACATTTCATGGCTCCTTGCTCCTTCACAACAACGATGTTTCATGGCTCCTTGCTCCTTCACAACAACGACGTTTCATGGCTCCTTGCTCCTTCACAACAACGACGTTTCATGGCTTCTTACTCCTTCACAACAACGACGTTTCATGGCTTCTTACTCCTTCACAACAACGACGTTTCATGGCTCCTTGCTCCTTCACAACAACGATGTTTCATGGCTCCCTGCTCCTTCACAACAACGACGTTTCATGGCTTCTTACTCCTTCACAACAACGACGTTTCATGTCTCCTTGCTCCTTCAGGACAACGATGTTTCATGGCTTCTTACTCCTTCACAACAACGACGTTTCATGGCTCCTTGCTCCTTCAGGACAACGACGTTTCATGGCTCCTTGCTCCTTCACAACAACGATGTTTCCTGGCTCCTTGCTCTTTCAGGCCAACGACGTTTCATGGCTCCTTGCTCCTTCACAACAACGACGTTTCATGGCTCCTTGCTCCTTCACAACAACGATGTTTCATGGCTCCCTGCTCCTTCACAACAACGACGTTTCATGGCTCCTTGCTCCTTCAGGACAACGACGTTTCATGGCTCCTTGCTCCTTCACAACAACGACGTTTCATGGCTCCTTGCTCCTTCACAACAACGACGTTTAATGGCTCCTTGCTCCTTCACAACAACGACGTTTCATGGCTCCTTGCTCCTTCAGGACAACGACGTTTCATGGCTCCTTGCTCCTTCACAACAACGATGTTTCATGGCTCCTTGCTCTTTCAGGACAACGACGTTTCATGGCTCCTTGCTCCTTCACAACAACGACGTTTCATGGCTTCTTACTCCTTCACAACAACGACATTTCATGGCTTCTTACTCCTTCAGGACAACGACGTTTCATGGCTCCTTGCTCCTTCACAACAACGATGTTTCATGGCTCCCTGCTCCTTCACAACAACGACGTTTCATGGCTCCTTTTTCCTTCACAACAACGATGTTTCATGGCTTCTTACTCCTTCAGGACAACGATGTTTCATGGCTTCTTACTCCTTCACAACAACGATGTTTCATGGCTTCTTACTCCTTCAGGACAACGATGTTTCATGGTTTCTTACTCCTTCAGGACAACGACGTTTCATGGCTCCTTGCTCCTTCAGGACAACGACGTTTCATGGCTCCTTACTTCTTCACAACAACGACGTTTCATGTCTCCTTGCTCCTTCAGGAGAACGACGTTTAATTGCTTCTTGCTCCTTCAGGACAACGACGTTTCATGGCTCCCTGCTCCTTCACGACAACGACGTTTCATGGCTCCTTGCTCCTTCACAACAACGACATTTCATGGCTCCTTGCTCCTTCACAACAACGATGTTTCATGGCTCCTTGCTCCTTCACAACAACGACGTTTCATGGCTCCTTGCTCCTTCAGGACAACGACATTTCATGGCTCCTTGCTCCTTCACGACAACGACGTTTCATGGCTCCTTGCTCCTTCAGGACAACGACGTTTCATGGCTTCTTACTCCTTCACAACAACGACGTTTCATGGCTTCTTACTCCTTCAGGACAACGATGTTTCATGGCTTCTTACTCCTTCAGGACAACGACGTTTCATGGCTCCTTGCTCCTTCACAACAACGACGTTTCATGGCTCCTTACTTCTTCACAACAACGACGTTTCATGGCTCCTTGCTCCTTCAGGACAACGACGTTTCATGGCTTCTTACTCCTTCAGGACAATGACGTTTCATGGCTCCCTGCTCCTTCAAAACAACGACGTTTCATGGCTTCTTACTCCTTCACGACAACGATGTTTCATGGCTCCTTGCTCCTTCACAACAACGATGTTTCATGGCTCCTTGCTCCTTCACAACAACGACGTTTCATGGCTCCCTGCTCCTTCACGACAACGACGTTTCATGTCTTCTTACTCCTTCACAACAACGACGTTTCATGGCTCCTTGCTCCTTCAGGACAACGACGTTTCATGGCTTCCTGCTCCTTCACAACAACGATGTTTCATGGCTCCTTGCTCCTTCACAACAACGACGTTTCATGGCTCCCTGCTCCTTCACGACAACGACGTTTCATGGCTTCTTGCTCCTTCACAACAACGACGTTTCATGGCTCCTTGCTCCTTCAGGACAACGACGTTTCATGGCTTCCTGCTCCTTCAGGACAGCGACGTTTCCTGGCTCCTTGCTTCTTCAGGACAACGACGTTTCATGGCTCCTTTCACTTCCTGACAACAACGTTTCCTGGCACCTTTCACTTCTCGACAACAACGACGTTTCATGCCTACTTGCTCCTTTAGGACAACGACGTTTCATGGCTCCTTTCACTTCCTGACAACAACGTTTCCTGGCACCTTTCACTTCCTGACAACAACGACGTTTCGTGGCCCCTTGCTCCTTCACAACAACAACGACATTGTTATGACCATAAATGTTTCGTATCTTCATCTTTCAAGTGGTATGATGTCTATACCATTGAGTTTATTTCCATGCATTAGCAATCACAGTGTTGGAAAAAAATCATCAAATAATTTTACTAAAACATATTACATGAGTATATTTTGTGACAATGCTTGACTTGAGATCCAGGAATTGCATCAGATTATATCAGTAACACGAAAGACGTAAACAAGAGCCCAAGTACAAAAATAAAATTAAACAATGGTGATTACATCTTACATTTTAAAAAGTGTTTCCTTTCTGTCACATTATTGACAATTTGCGAAAAAGAAGGAGAGGTGCTTAGGATTTTTTCTGGTGAATCACAGAACAAAAAGACCGATTTTACACCATTGAAATAAACGCAAATTTGGAAAATACTGTCCCTTCGTGTGGTGTATATCACGGTTCAGTTTTCATAATTGTACATACAACGATGTTTGCAGAGTAGGTAAACATGTAATGTTCAATACGGCCAGGGGACTCCTACCGTGTCAATATACCAGGGCATCTTTGCAGCCAATAGGATTGGAGGGACGCGTCTATGATGCTGGAAGTGCCACCTGGCGGGAATATCTTCTTTCAGGTACGCTGTGTAGTAGGGACTGTAGTCCTTGAGTGCGTTGTAAACCTGACATGAACAAAATACATTCGGAGTGATTTTTTGTTTGCCAGGTTTCAAGATCAACTAGGCGTTCATTGTACACCTCATGATCTGTTTGTATTGATATTACTAATGTATTAATATATACAAATTGATAAAGTAATTAACAATTATGTTTAAACACCATGACATTGGCATGAAGTCAACTCGTAATACACATATGGAAGATAATATATGGATGTCAACTTCTTTATTATGAGGAACACAACGTTTCGGAGTATATGCTTACTCCTTCACTCCGAAACGTTGTGTTCCTCATAATAAAAAGAAGTTGACATCCATAAATTCTCTTCCTTATGTGTATAACTTCTAAACGCCTTTCAAAGACGTAATATACATGTGTTCCCATTCAGGTGTATAGGTCAATACATTCCTGGGAAGCGTTTCCGACAACCTGCCGTCATATTTCTGGAATAGTACGGCGTAAAACAACAAACGATTCAAATTTTCCGGTGAGGTGGGAGAAACGTGACACACGGCCCAGGAACGTTTGGGAAACAGCATTTGATCAATACATGAAGAAAACTACTGAACGGGTCCTCTGACCAGATAATTCTCTTCATTGTCACCAGAACTACCAGCTTAGTCATGAGAGAGTGTCAGCTTTGCTTTACTCCGCTTTCAGCCACAGTCCAGCCATACCACTATGGGGAAACATATTGTACCCATGTGGGAATCGAACGCGTAACAAAAGAGCGCTTGAACCACTACGCTACCTCACAGCCCAACTCAGACATGAGTTTTTGTTTGTTGTTTTATGCCGCACTCAAAATTATTTCAGTTATACGACGGCGGTCTGAATATCGAGTCTGGACCAGACAATCCAGTGATAGACATCATGAGGATCGATCCACACAAAAGAGATTCAAGGACACTCAATCATCCAAGTTACTTCAATCTCTCAGTCATATATAGGGGCAAGTCGTCTAAGGGGCCGCAATACGCTGTGCAGAGTTGCGTCCCTTGGGCACACAAGAAACTTATGATTGTGTGTTCGAATCTCGGTTCGCCCCGATTATGTTTCTAGGTTTGTCAGCACCATACCCGTGGGTTTCACCGAGTGGCTTTACTTCAGGCTTTCCTTCCACTTTAAGCTGACACGCCGTGATATAACTGGAATACTATTAAAGGGGTGTTAAACCCTATTCACCAACTCACTCATATATACTATTACTTATAACACCATAACGAATGTATTATGCCGAAAAGTTTACACTCTCTGGTATCCATATTGCTTGTGTCACGTAAATGAAAAACTTGACACTTACAACCGTACGTTGACGTTAAGGGTCAAAGGGAGACCACTCTAGACAACCTTAGAGGCCAAACCTTGTTGATAAGTTTAACTATAATCTTTGTCAATAAAGTCACGAACGTGATATAAAAAACAGATTAATGTCCTTGCACATGACAATTAATGATAGTAAAACACAAAACAGTGCCAAATAACCAATTTCCGTACCAGAATTTCCATGTGAAATATGTGAGGTGGGTGTTGGAAAATCCAAGATGGCTGTCACTGACGGTTTTCGGTCTCATATTAGGTCAGCATCAACCATCTTGGATTTTTACTGACGGTATACGGGCTCATGTGGGGTCAGAAGTTCTGCTCTCTGATTGGTCAATCTTACTTTGAGGCATAATAATTATGGATACATCAATATTTGGCACATTGCCTGCCTACGTCTTTGGAAGACCGACACACATATAACATCTTTGTTATTATGAGAACAGTAAACTACGGTTATAACGAACACACAGGGACCACTAATTTTAGTTCGTAATAAACCATAGTTCGTAATAAGCATATATACAACATAATGAGCATATATACAACAAATGGACGGGATCAAAACACATTTCGTTATATCCGTCAGTTCGTTATAAGCGTGTTCGTTATAAATGTAGTTTACAGTATTGGTGGATGGCCGTTAAAACGGCGTAAAATCATTCTAACACTAACCACTCTTGACCAAACCAAAACCATAGCAGTGTGAGGGGATTAACGTGCATGCCAGTGTGTGGTTGTACCAGGCCGGTTTTACCGTAATAACACATACAGATGGCAGTCCAGAAGTTATCATAGAGTGAGTGATCGAGTGAGTTGTGTTTAACGCCGCTTTTAACAGTATTCCAGTTATATCACGGCGTGTCAGCTTAATGTGGGATGAAAACCCGAAGTGGTGCAGGTCTCAGACGTTTACCACTTCGGTGAAACCCACGAGCACGGGTATGGTGCTGACAAACCTAGAAACATAATCGGTGCGAACCGGGATTCGAACCAGCAATCATAGATTTCTGGCGTGCGCAAGGGACGCAATTCTGCACAGCGAATTGCAGCGCCTTAGATGACTGGGCCACCATTGCCACCGAGTAAATAAGAACATAACATTATGGTAAACAACAACTAAACAACAACTGGTTTATTGCACAGAGCGAAGTTTCGATCGAGATTATTACACCGTTCTCAAGAACCGTTATCCCTCTAGCTTCATAACTGTGTAAGAACCTACATCGAAACGACGCTCTGTGCAATATACCAGTTGTTGTTAACCATACATTTGAACGTTTTCTCCAGCTGCAGTTTAACATGGATGTCCATTCAGGGATGTTGCGATAATTTATTAAACCGTGAAGTTCTATCAGAAGCTGAGGGGGATGAACTGGTTGCGAATTGGGTGAGATGAGATAGGGTTTGACGTCGCGTCCAAGATTGTTGCACTTATATAGCAACGTGCATGCACGTGTGTGTGTGGTTGCTTGTACTAGTCCCGACTGATGCCGATTCATAGTGCTAGCTCACTGAGATACCATGCCGCAGTTTACCATGAATACCCCACTCAGACACGGTATACTGACTCCGAGCCGACCAGTCATTGTTTTAGCCCCTTAATGCCGAGCACCAGGCAGGGTAACAACAAGTACCATCTTTTAACGTCTTTTGGTATGACGCGGGCGGGGATCGAACCCCGGACCTTCCGCTCCCCGGGTAGACGCTCTTCCAACGAGACCAGGGATGTGATCTTAGAATAATATGTTTTGATCAATGCAACATTCGAAATAGAGAATCTGCTTTATATTCGCTGCTCTTAATTGTTATCATCATGCAGACTGTTTCACAAATATCCCAACATTTATTTTAGTTACACCGAACACCGCACAATACTCACCTCCTGGAGACGGCCTGGCTTAGGCCAGATATACACGTGGGAGCCGTATCCATTAAGAATGACGTCAACAGACGACGTAGGAAGAACGTGGCTCACGTTGACGACCTGCGACGGCGATATTGTTGTCATGCCGTGGTCAGAGAATATCATCACATCGACGGTGTCGCCTAAGTCAGGACTTGCCAACTTTTTCAGCATCCGCCCAAGTTCCTCATCTACTTCCTGTATGGCCGAGTTGACCTTGCTTGTCATTGGCCCGTACCTGTGCCCATCGTCGTCCACCTTCTCGTGGTACACCACTGTGTTAGATGATACATGTGAGGGGCCGTGGTACACCACTGTGTTAGATGATACATGTGAGGGGCCGTGGTACACCACTGTGTTAGATGATACATGTGAGGGGCCGTGGTACACCACTGTGTTAGATGATACATGTGAGGGGCCGTGGTACACCACTGTGTTAGATGATACATGTGAGGGGCCGTGGTACACCACTGTGTTAGATGATACATGTGAGGGGCCGTGGTACACCACTGTGTTAGATGATACATGTGAGGGGCCGTGGTACACCACTGTGTTAGATGATACATGTGAGGGGCCAATCATTGGATAGAATTGTGGGGAGGGGTGAAATGTTTGTAAAAAACAAACAATTTTACCTTAGGTATTTCATAAGGTGAGGTGAGGTGATATAGGCTTAGAATATCACACTCAGACACAGTATACTGACTCCGAGGCGACCAGTCCTTGTTTTAGACACTTAGTGTCGAACGCCAGGCAGGGTACCAACAAGTACCATCTTTTACTGCTACTAATACTACGACTACTACTACTGCCACCACTACTACTACTACTAGTAGTACTGCTGCTGCTACTACTTCTACTACTACTACTACTACTACTACTGCTGCTGCTGCTGCTACTACTACTATTTCTACTACTACTGCTACTACTACTACTACTACTACTACTACTACTACTACCAGCATTACTACTACTACTACCACTACTACTACTACTACTGATACTACTGCCACCACCACCACTGCTACTACTATTGCTGCTGCTGCTGCTACTACTACTACTATTTCTACTACTACTGCTACTACTTCTATCACCTGCCAGATCTGCACTAGAGTTAAGGAAGAGTTCCACGCTGTCGTCAAGGTCACGTCTACTACTACTACTACTACTACTACTACTACTACTACTACTACTACTACTACTTCTATCACCTGCCAGATCTGCACTAGAGTTGAGGAAGAGTTCCACGCTGTCGTCAAGGTCACGTCTGAGATCAGCAATGGAGGGGACGTCGGTGTGCCGCCGACAGTATGTGGGTTGTCTCCCCTGTATGGTGACCTCACAGCCAACCCAGTGGAACATGTACACTCTCTTGTTCTTGAATGTAAGCATAGCCCAACAACAATAACAATAGCAATAAACAACAACGCTAATGATGATGACTATGATGATGAATGAGTGTGGTTTTAAGCCGCTTTTAGCAACATTCAAGCAATATCACGACAGGGGACAACAGAAATGGATTTACGCATTGTACCCATGTAGGGAATCGAACCCGGGTGTTCGGCCTGACGAGCGAACGCTTTAACCACTGGGCTACCTCACCGCCCTCAAAGGATGATGATGATGATGATGATGATGATGATGATGATGATACACATTAAACCACTAAACACTAATAATAATAAAAGTGGAAATGGCAATTTAAACAGTTATAATAATACAAAATCAGAATATAGCCCGGGGTTCATGAGCGTTTGTAATGTATCGTCAGCTCCATGGCGAGTATGCCAATCAGCGTACCTGTTTGCGTTCCCTCCTGACTATATACACCGAACATGGAACATTTACAAAGATTCACCTGTAATTTTCTCCTCCAAAGATATATAAAGGTAGAAACAATCTGACATACCTGTTTCACTGCAGAGATCCACAGCGGTTCAGAGTCGTCATACATAAACGACCTGTCCGCAGCTGTTAAGTTGTCGAACCAAGGAGAATACGTTTTTCCTGTTGTGACGTCATACATTTCGTTACCCACAAACCCGTGCGACTCTACATACAGGCCTGTAAAAATGAAAATAGACCACGTGACTTGGATGAATGGATGACATAAAAATGATAGGGTAAGCAGGGTGTAGTGGTTAGGGTAGACTCATCTGTAAGCAGGGTGTAGTGGTTACAGTGGACTCACCTGTAAGCAGGGTGTAGTGGTTACAGTAGATTCATCTGTAAGCAGGGTGTAGTGGTTACAGTAGACTCATCTGTAAGTAGGGTGTAGTGGTTACAGTAGACTCACCTGTAAGCAGTGTGTAGTGGTTACAGTAGAGCCACCTGTAAGCAGGGTGTAGTGGGAAGGGTATGATACCGGCGGGTATGCAGGGTGTAGTGGTTACAGTGGACTCACCTGTAAGCAGGGTGTAGTGGTTACAGTAGACCCACCTGTAAGCAGGGTGTAGTGGGAAGGGTATGATACCGGCGGGTATGCAGGGTGTAGTGGTTACAGTGGACTCACCTGTAAGCAGGGTGTAGTGGTTACAGTAGACCCACCTGTAAGCAGGGTGTAGTGGTTACAGTAGACTCACCTGTAAGCAGGGTGTAGTGGTTACAGTAGACTCACCTGTAAGCAGGGTGTAGTGGTTACAATAGACTCACCTGTAAGCAGGGTGTAGTGGTTACAGTAGACTCACCTGTAAGCAGGGTGTAGTGGTTACAGTAGACTCACCTGTAAGCAGGGTGTAGTGGTTACAATAGACTCACCTGTAAGCAGGGTGTAGTGGTTAGGGTATGATACCGGCGGGTATGCAGGTACAAGCTGTCGTGCGCGGACACCACGACGGAAGATCTCCGTGAACGCAGGCAGATTCAGACCTTGGTCGAAGTAGTCCCAGCGGAAGCCGTCCAACAGGATGAGGAGTAATTTGCCGGAGAAAGCTTCACCAAAAACTGCGACCACTACGAACAGTGTGGCTTGGAGCTTCATGCTTGCAATCTGAAGAGACAAAAATGATTGTCTTTTATTTATTGTCATACTTCGAGCTCACGACTGTACGTTTCTGGCACATCAAGGAGTGCGTCGTTTGATTAACGTTGGGCTCTCCACGATAAAATTGTTTTGTGCACTTTTGCACACATTTATTTGTCTGATGATCCTCTTGTGAAGCATGTCAAGACTCATGATGAACACAAGGCATTCCACTGTTTTCATAAACGAGCCAAGGATGGGGGACATAATCGCAATGACAGTGTTCATTTTGTTGATGGTTCTGTACTGCTGGACGGTACAGAAATGAATGTCAACCATTGCTAAGTGCCATATCAAATTGGCCCACAATCAAGGAGAGGCTATCTGAACGAACAATGCATCGAGTTTATGTGCAGTGTGTTGAGAGGATCAGTAACCCTGAAGAGTCCTTCGCTTGGATGAGGTCGGCTGGCCTGAAAAGTGAAACAGAAGGCTTTCTGTTCGCTGCTCACGATCCGTCACTTCCCATACCAGACCGTCAATGTGTGATTTGCATCAAAATGTAAATATGAAATGTAGATTATGCAATGAATTTAATAAGACTGTCCAACACATTGTCAGTGGATGCCCCGCTTTGGCACAAACACAGTGTCTAAAGCGGTATGATGGTGTAGCTCGATCATTTTGTTACCGTCTTGGCCATGCTTGTGGTTTTGACACAGAGGTCCACCCATGGTACGACACGAGGGCGTCATGGAAAATGATCAATACACAATTCTTTGGAATAGGCCCATTTACAGCCTTAGACGTATCCAGGCCAACAAACCTCATTTAAATCACTGAATTTTCTGTCCCTTTTGAAAGTAATGTGATTGACAAGACTGAGGAAAAACATACCAAATATGCGGACCTCGCTTTCGGCTCATGCCGATGACGTCAGGTTTTGCTCGTTCTGTCAATCGCGGATTAGTCTGGCCGAGACTTGATATTTTACAGTTCGTGAGAAAAACTACTTGGGCCAAAATGCTTGTCATGACCTACTTTAAAAATCGATAGCGTCAAGGTGACATTAACTGGCCGCTTAAATGATAAAGCATTACCATTAAAATGTCTGCAGAAGTTGCAAACAAAATATGGCGACACATGTCAATGTTTACACAGAACCTTGGTGTCTTTTCTGGAAATAGTTTCATATTACATATCTGAACGCTTCCGGAACAGCTGTACAGCTGTTAAATGGGTTAACTCACCCATTCTGATCAACGCATTCTTGTGCAATTCCCCCTGGGTTAGAACTGGTCTTCAGCAACCCATGCTTGTAAGAGGCGACTAACGGGCTCGCTGACTAGGTTAATGCATGTCATAGTATCCCAAATGCGTCGATATCTGCTCATAATGTCACTGGATTGCCAGGTCCAGAATCGATGAACTATAGAGCGCCGTCATATAGCTGGAAAACTGCAGTGCGGTGTCTGTCAACCAAACAAACATAATGTTCTTTGCTGGTTGACGTCCCATAAGGTTATAAGGGCGATCTGGTAGCCTGGTGGTTAAAGCGTTCGCTCCCCACGCCGAAGACCCGGGTTCGATTCCCGACATGGGTTCAATGTGTGAAGCCCACCGTGGTGTCCCCCGCCGTGATATTGCGGGAATATTGCTAAAAGCGGCGTAAAACCATACTCACTCACTCCTAATGGCTATCATCGTCCAGAATGTGATGATTACCGCATTGTGTGTTAAAGGGTTAGAGGTCCTCGATGTGATATTCTGAGGCTTGTGAGATGTAGGGCATGGGGAGTTCAGGTTTTTTTTAACCTGTCCAGGGAACCACATTTATTTTCTACAACCTGAGGACACGTGTACGGGATTTTCAGAAATTTTTCAGTTATTTTTTGCAAAAGCTCCCCGACCCTTCCAGACCCCCATCCTCAAGACCTGTCCCTCCTCACACACAGACCCCCACCCTCAAGACCTGTCCCTGCTCTCTCACACAGACCCCCACCCTCAAGACCTGTCCCTACTTTCTCACAAAGACCCCCACCCTCAAGACCTGTCCCTGCTCTCTCACACAGACCCCCACCATCAAGACCTGTCCCTACTTTCTCACACAGACTCCCACCCTCAAGACCTGTCCCTACTCTCTCACACAGACCCCCACCATCAAGACCTGTCCCTACTCTCACACAGACCCCCACCCTCAAGACCTGTCCCTACTTTCTCACACAGACCCCCACTCTCAAGACCTGTCCCTGCTCTCACACAGACCCCCACCCTCAAGACCTGTCCCTCCTCTCTCACACAGACCCCCACCCTCAAGACCTGTCCCTACTCACACACAGACCCCCACCATCAAGACCTGTCCCTCCTCTCTCACACAGACCCCCACCCTCAAGACCTGTCCCTACTCACACACAGACCCCCACCATCAAGACCTGTCCCTCCTCTCTCACACAGACTCCCACCCTCAAGACCTGTCCCTCCTCTCTCACACAGACCCCCACCATCAAGACCTGTCCCTCCTCTCTCACACAGACCCCCACCATCAAGACCTGTCCCTCCTCTCTCACACAGACTCCCACCCTCAAGACCTGTCCCTCCTCTCTCACACAGACCCCCACCATCAAGACCTGTCCCTCCTCTCTCACACAGACCCCCACCCTCAAGACCTTTCCCTACTTTCTCACACAGACCCCCACCCTCAAGACCTGTCCCTTCTCTCTCACACAGACCCCCACCCTCAAGACCTGTCCCTCCTCTCTCACACAGACCCCCACCCTCAAGACCTGTCCCTCCTCTCTCACACAGACCCCCACCCTCAAGACCTGTCCCTACTCACACACAGACCCCCACCCTCAAGACCTGTCCCTACTCTCTCACAGACCCCCACCCTCAAGACCTGTCCCTTCTCTCTCTCACAGACCCCCACCCTCAAGACCTGTCCCTCCTCACTCACACAGACCCCCACCCTCAAGACCTGTCCCTCCTCTCTCACACAGACCCCCACCCTCAAGACCTGTCCCTCCTCTCTCACACAGACCCCCACCCTCAAGACCTGTCCCTCCTCTCTCACACAGACCCCCACCCTCAAGACCTGTCCCTCCTCTCTCACACAGACCCCCACCCTCAAGACCTGTCCCTTCTCTCTCTCACAGACCCCCACCCTCAAGACCTGTCCCTCCTCACTCACACAGACCCCCACCCTCAAGACCTGTCCCTCCTCTCTCACACAGACCCCCACCCTCAAGACCTGTCCCTCCTCTCTCACACAGACCCCCACCCTCAAGACCTGTCCCTCCTCTCTCACACAGACCCCCACCCTCAAGACCTGTCCCTCCTCTCTCACACAGACCCCCACCCTCAAGACCTGTCCCTACTCTCACACAGACCCCCACCCTCAAGACCTGTCCCTCCTCTCTCACACAGACCCCCACCCTCAAGACCTGTCCCTCCTCTCTCACACAGACCCCCACCCTCAAGACCTGTCCCTCCTCTCTCACACAGACCCCCACCCTCAAGACCTGTCCCTCCTCTCTCACACAGACCCCCACCCTCAAGACCTGTCCCTCCTCTCTCACACAGACCCCCACCCTCAAGACCTGTCCCTCCTCTCTCACACAGACCCCCACCATCAAGACCTGTCCCTCCTCTCTCACACAGACCCCCACCATCAAGACCTGTCCCTCCTCTCTCACACAGACCCCCACCATCAAGACCTGTCCCTCCTCTCTCACACAGACTGTCAAATGGCTGCCCCCTTGATAGGTAGAGAGTCGGACAGACAGGTCACACCGTAACACAGTACTCTGTCTGTGTCTGGTCCAGGGGCTGTCGTGTGTAGTGATGCCTCACTGCGTGTATCTGTTGTTCCACATCACAGATCACAGATCACAGATGACAGATCACAGGTCTAAGATCACAGCATATCATATTAAACTACATTATTTATCACAATTGTCTCCTGTCGCAATTCACGCAAACCTACATCCATTTTACGAGCTCAAAGATAATAAAACCATTGAACATGGAACTACTTGTTGTACCCACGGGTTTTATGTATTGGACGATATGCTTACATATTTCTCGTGTAGTCCATACATCAACGTTCCGATGTCACAAGGAAGGGATGTCACCGGATCCTGGGGGTTGAAGCTGTGCGTCACTCTGGGTCTCGGTGCCCCATTTGCCGGCAAGCCGCTCTCTCCCCCTGCTGTAATAAGGTTAAATCAACAGGTCACGCCTGTTGCTATATTTCTATTTTTGCATCGTCAGCTCAGCGTTCCAGATAACGGCCTCTAATGCTGGAATGCTGTAATAACGAACGGAGAGGTATGCGTCTGGGGCGATACAAGGGACATGGTAGTCAGTAGGTCGAGGTGTAAATGACAAGGAGCGTGGGGTATACATGGGTACTCCCCCGCGAAACTGAGAATGCAAATTGAATGCAGACTGATGCGTTACATCAGGGGTAATAATTGTACGAACTTCAGCATGTTTCATCATCATCATCATCATCACCACCACAACCACCACAACCACCACCATCATCATCATCATCATCATCACCATCATCATCATCATCACCACCACCACCACCACCACCACCACCATCATCATCATCATCATCATCATCATCATCATAATCTCCATCATCATCATCATCATCATCATCATCATCATCACCACCACCACCACCATCATCATCATCATCATCATCATCACCACCACCACCATCATCATCATCATCACCATCATCACCATCATCATCATCATCATCATCATCACCACCACCACCACCACCACCACCATCATTATTAAACTGATCGAGCCACTCCACGCTGGCTAGGCTCAGGGCCCTTGCCTCCTCAACACGCAGCCCAGACAGCGAATGTGATCAGGAAGCGCTGCCTAGTCAAACCCACCCAGAGCTTTTCGGAGAATGTGAAGACTCCCCAACACTGCAGCCTTCTGCATTACCCAGATTGTCAGAAGGGCTGTATTCCTGGTAGCTAACCTAGGTACTCTCCCAATGTTATCATTATTATTATTATTAAAGGCACCGGTTCCCGCCACTTTAGAACCTGAGCATCAGGTCTCTCTATATACTGTAAAACGTGAAATTAATGCGTCTCCAAAAGAATGCGACCGCTGGCCCCTAGCAAAACATGCGACTCAATATGAATGTGACACCCCCTCCTCTCAAGCATCAGTGGATTTATATCTCAACAAAATGTCCTCTGTCAGGTTTACAAAAGAATCCTCACCTCTCTTTATACTAGTGTATGGACATTTGTATTGGTTAAATATCAGGCTACCGTCACACCAAGATGAGAGGGCCAGGGGATTGCTCAGATCCTTTGTTCATGAGACCGACACAAGCATATACACTGTAGTTCCTATGTTAACGTACATGTACATGCGCGATGCTTGTGGGATCCGTGTTCGCTTTAAAATCAGCCCCCTTCAAGTACTTGAACAAGATCGATGCCGAATAAACCACTCTCAATAATGTAGGTTTGTTAGGGGTAACGGACAAGTAACTGGACACTCGTTACCTGACTTAAAATACAACATCAGCGTAACTACCTGCTAAACTACAGCCTGAGGGTTAAAATAAATAAATAAATAAATGAAAATAAATAACACAATTATCCTGCGAAGTTCATGCAGGCCATTCGTAAAGCATGAGAATCTTAATTTCGTGCTTCAATATATGTGCTGCATTTGAACTAGATTCGAACTGCACGTGCAGTTTTGGGGATGTGATCGCTGTCGCCAGTATATTCGTATTGCACAAATAGAGTGACGCCTGTATTTTAATCCCTGAACTTATGCAATGGGACTATGATTTTTGTGTTTTTTTCCTGAAAAAGCTCTTTTAAGATGAGACCACAGGGTTTGTGGGGTGTATGTCTCAAAACTAAGTTCATAAGCAGTTTTTAAGCTGACGTCGATCTCTCCAACTGCACCAGATGACGTGACAATGCAAACAAACCCCTCCTAATTTAATCCATGAAAGTAAACATCGTATAAGACAAAGATCCGTCCATCCACCATCCCACTTGTTCCCTCCACCCAGCATTACTACAGCAGGGACCTATGTTCAGCATCACTACAGCAGGGACCTATGTTCAGCATCACTACAGCAGGGACCTATGTTCAGCATTACTACAGCAGGCACCTATGTTCAGCATTATTACAGCAGGGACCTGTGTTCAGCATCCCTACTGCAGGGACCTATGTTCAGCATTACTACAGCAGGGATCTATGTTCAGCATCACTACAGCAGGGACCTATGTTCAGCATCAGTACAGCAGGGACCTATGTTCAGCATCACTACAGCAGGGGTCTATGTTCAGCATCACTACAGCAGGGACCTATGTTCAGCTTTACTACAGCAGGGATTTTTGTTCAGCATCACTACAGCAGGGATCTATGTTCAGCTTTACTACAGCAGGGATCTTTGTTCAGCATCACTACAGCAGGGATCTATGTTCAGCATCACTACAGCAGGGACCTATGTTCAGCATTACTACAGCAGGGATCTATGTTCAGCATTACTACAGCAGGGATCTATGTTCAGCATCACTACAGCAGGGACCTATGTTCAGCATTACTACAGCAGGGATCTATGTTCAGCATCACTACAGCAGGGATCTATGTTCAGCATCACTACAGCAGGGACCTATGTTCAGCATCACTATAGCAGGGATCTATGTTCAGCATCACTACAGCAGGGACCTATGTTCAGCATCACTACAGCAGGGATCTATGTTCAGCATCACTACAGCAGGGACCTATGTTCAGCATCACTACAGCAGGGATCTATGTTCAGCATCACTACAGCAGGGATCTATGTTCAGCATCACTACAGCAGGGACCTATGTTCAGCATCACTACAGCAGGGATCTATGTTCAGCATCACTACAGCAGGGATCTATGTTCAGCATCACTACAGCAGGGACCTATGTTCAGCATCACTACAGCAGGGACCTATGTTCAGCATTACTACAGCAGGGATCTATGTTCAGCATCACTACAGCAGGGATCTATGTTCAGCAATACTACAGCAGGGACCTATGTTCAGCATCACTACAGCAGGGACCTATGTTCAGCATTACTACAGCATGGATCTATGTTCAGCATCACTACAGCAGGGACCTATGTTCAGCATTACTACAGCAGGGATCTATGTTCAGCATCACTACAGCAGGGACCTTTGTTCAGCATTACTACAGCAGGGATCTATGTTCAGCATTACTACAGCAGGGACTTATGTTCAGCATCACTACAGCAGGGACCTATGTTCAGCATTACTACAGCAGGGATCTATGTTCAGCATCACTACAGCAGGGACCTATGTTCAGCATTACTACAGCATGGATCTATGTTCAGCATTACTACAGCAGGGACCTATGTTCAGCATCACTACAGCAGGGATCTATGTTCAGCATCACTACAGCAGGGATCTATGTTCAGCATCACTACAGCAGGGATCTATGTTCAGCATCACTACAGCAGGGACCTATGTTCAGCATCACTACAGCAGGGACCTATGTTCAGCATTACTACAGCAGGGATGTATGTTCAGCATCACTACAGCAGGGACCTATGTTCAGCATCACTACAGCAGGGACCTATGTTCAGCATTACTACAGCAGGGACCTATGTTCAGCATCACTACAGCAGGGACCTATGTTCAGCATTACTACAGCAGGGACCCATGTTCAGCATTACTAAAGCAGGGATCTATGTTCAGCATTACTACAGCAGGGACCCATGTTCAGCATAACTACAGCAGGGACCTATGTTCAGCATCACTACAGCAGGGATCTATGTTCAGCATCACTACAGCAGGGACCTATGTTCAGCATAACTACAGCAGGGACCTATGTTCAGCATCACTACAGCAGGGATCTATGTTCAGCATCACTACAGCAGGGACCTATGTTCAGCATCACTACAGCAGGGACCTATGTTCAGCATCACTACAGCAGGGACCTATGTTCAGCATCACTACAGCAGGGACCTATGTTCAGCATCACTACAGCAGGGACCTATGTTCAGCATCACTACAGCACGGACCTATGTTCAGCATCACTACAGCAGGGACCTATGTTTAGCATCACTACAGCAGGGACCTATGTTCAGCATCACTACAGCAGGGACCTATGTTCAGCATCACTACAGCAGGGACCTATGTTCAGCATCACTACAGCAGGGATGTATGTTCAGCATCACTACAGCAGGGACCTATGTTCAGCATCACTACAGCAGGGACCTATGTTCAGCATTACTACAGCAGGGACCTATGTTCAGCATCACTACAGCAGGGATCTATGTTCAGCATCACTGCAGCAGGGATCTATGTTCAGCATCACTACAGCAGTGATCTATGTTCAGCATTACTACAGCAGGGACCTATGTTCAGCATCACTACAGCAGGGACCTATGTTCAGCATTACTACAGAAGGGACCCATGTTCAGCATTACTAAAGCAGGGATCTATGTTCAGCATCACTACAGCAGGGACCTATGTTCAGCATCACTACAGCAGGGACCTATGTTCAGCATCACTACAGCAGGGACCTATGTTCAGCATCACTACAGCAGGGACCTATGTTCAGCATCACTACAGCAGGGACCTATGTTCAGCATTACTACAGCACGGACCTATGTTCAGCATCACTACAGCAGGGATCTATGTTCAGCATCACTACAGCAGGGACCTATGTTCAGCATTACTCATCAGGGACCTATGTTCAGCATCACTACAGCAGGGACCTATGTTCAGCATCACTACAGCAGGGACCTATGTTCAGCATCACTACAGCAGGGACCTATGTTCAGCATCACTACAGCAGGGACCTATGTTCAGCATCACTACAGCAGGGACCTATGTTCAGCATCACTACAGCAGGGACCTATGTTCAGCATCACTACATCAGGAACCTATGTTCAGCATTACTACAGCAGGGACCTATGTTCAGCATCACTACAGCAGGGATCTATGTTCAGCATCACTACAGCAGGGATCTATGTTCAGCATCACTACAGCAGGGACCTATGTTCAGCATCACTACAGCAGGGATCTATGTTCAGCATACTACAGCAGGGATCTATGTTCAGCATCACTACAGCAGGGACCTATGTTCAGCATTACTACAGCAGGGACCTATGTTCAGCATCACTACAGCAGGGACCTATGTTCAGCATCACTACAGCAGGGACCTATGTTCAGCATCACTACAGCAGGGATCTATGTTCAG